GGGGGGGCTCTTTTTTCTTTAACTTACTTACCTCGACATCATAGTGTGTTTGATATTTCCTCCGCCCCTCCCCTCCCCTTTCTATGGAACTTTTTTTTAGTTAAAAAAAAGAAGCAGAAGCAGTGATACACAGGTAAGGTGTAGTGTAGTGGACTCAAGCCCAATCTTTGCATGTCCCCTCTCACCATTTGACGGTCATAACCTCATGTTGTCCCCTGACTCGACACTAATGTAAGTACCTCCCCACCCCTCATCCCATCCCTTCACCCTCCCAATACCGATATAGAAAAAAATGCCAGGGCACATCAGGGCTATGTGGGATACATCCTAGCTAGGAAAACGGAGACACTCGACAAAATATTTCTTCAACATGAGAGCCGAGCTCAAGTCCTTAATTAGCATGACTATAAAGCACCCTATATAGTCATAGGTAGTGGGCCAGTATTTCTGCTCTATTAAATCGTCTTTATAGATTTTTTAAAAATTGTTTATATTCAAAATCGGAGTTATCGACTAGGCTCTCTGTAATTCTGCCACTCACAGCACTGTTCACATGTTATGTGGACTATAGAGCGTAGACCCATGAACACTTGGGAGAAGGGGGGTCTACAGTAGCGGGAGAGGGGTGTAATTATTTTGAAATACGTTTTACAGACTGATTAAAAGACCTGGTGGAATCAGACGCTCGTCAATTATTGGACAAATTAAATTTTTGGTATCCTCTTAAAGTATGTTCATTTGTCTTGCTTTTAATGGAAAAAAGAACCTATTTTGAATAGTCGAAATAATAATACTTGCAATTGGAATTGGTAGGGGTAGCCTGGTGTCAGAGGTAAAGTTAGTGAGAAAATGGGCGCCAAAGTTTGGGTGCTTCTAAAGCATGAGTGTCCTTGAAAACTGCAAATTTACATATTTTTATGCCTTTGGTCAACGTTTTTCAGTAACTGTAACTTAGACATGTGTTTTTTAAATAGACGTAAAAGGTGTTGAGCCCAAAAACAAACAAAAATCGAAAAAAATTCGAAAAAAGAATTGCCCAACCGCTGGCAAAATTCCGGTTTCTTTGATTTTATTATTTTGACGAGCACCTGATTTCACCACGATGCTTCACATAACAGACTCTGGCTGTGTTGCTGAGGAACGTGAGTCCACCTCAGTTATCAGAATTTCCATCAAGGTGAATCTCGTCGTAACCAGTTTTGTCAAAGTTATGCGAGTTTAACTCAGCGCTATGTGATCTCCCACGGTGAGTGGTGTTTAGATTGTTTTGTTTTTTTCTTCAGTAACGCACAATATAATCCAATTCGAGGTAAATTCGACTTTTAACCCTTATCTGATCATGCTGACATGGTCAGTAGTATCATGATCAATGTCTGGGATACTTTACGTAAAATCCATGGGGAAGAAGATTAAAAGGGGGAGGGGAGGTCTGTCGAGCCGGTCTCGGCAAAATCAGATTTTCCTGACTGGTGCACACTAATAATAAATAGCATTTTGTATAGCGCATATCCCCGTTCAACCAGCAGGCTCTATGCACTTTACACTATATTATTACCCCAGCAGACCATAGAACACTCCGAAACATTCTCAGCTTCTACTTTACAATTACTCATCTACAGTTTATTTATGATGTATTCATCGCCATCAAATGCCAGATCTGCTAAAGACATCGTCTATCATGGTTCACCATTCATTTTTTTTTCTTGGAAGCTCTAAAAATACGTCATTGTCCAGGTATTTCCCTGTCACCCATTTGTTCCGGTTTTCTAAGTAAGCTGCTTTGGGTCAACTCCTGCCTCGTTTGCCTTCAATGTTACCAGAGAGAGAAAGATGATCAAGACCTTTATGTCGATTCAAGTGTCCCAGAAACTGATTTTATTTCTTCCTGATTATCTTTTCTTAGTGAACGGCCTACGTAAGCTTCTTTAACTACTACCTCTGTTTCTTCCATAAAATTCTCACCAATCTCCTGAGAAACCACATTTTTATGCTTCTATTCTAGTTTCACTGGGGTTGTTGTTGTTTTTTTAATCATACAGCATACGCATTACAATTTTTTTCTTAAATCCAACGTTTTTTGTTATATAAGGTGTTATCTGTCGTCTAAAGGTTTTTGGGGAGGTTTTTTTTATTTATTATACATTTTTTAAATTCAGAATGTTTGGAAAAAATCAAAATCTCATATTTTCATTTCATTTTTTCCTACTCTTCCGAAGTGTATCAATGGGTTAAAATTATATTTGGATACAAGATTGCCCAGGGCAATGGCTTCATTGTGTAAGAGGCTCTTTTTCAATATCTTCTGTAAATTGTATTTTATTATAGAAATTCCAGTACAATCCGGCAACAATTGGTTTTCGTTTTAAATGGCCAACTTTGACTCAAAAAACTTAGCAAGATATCAAAAAGGCTCCCACTCAATGTTAACAGTCCTCTTGTCTAAAATGTTGCAGTATGAGTTTTGCATTAATAGTAACATACATACCAAGTTTTGAGTCTTTACACCAAGTAATGATGATTTTAGCCCTCAGGTGTGACATCCCCCCCCTCCCCCAATCCCTTTTTTAAAAAGAACCCAGGAGACAACATTTAAAGAGAGAACGAGTTTGAATGAAAAGAATGAGTATCACGTTATGTCCACCTAAAATGTGGGTGGGTGGCGGTGGAGGGGGATAAATACCTTGAATCAAAATAATGGATTACCCTGTGCTTCATGATTAAAATTATTATTTATTGCGATCCAAGGTCTCTAAATCATCCTTACTCCCTCCCAATCCCCCTATCCCTCCCCATTCCCCTCCCCACTCCCCCTCTCCTTCCCCCTCTCCTCATTCTGTAAGTCTTGTTGCACAGCGTTGACGTTGCTGTCAAATTGTAAGGATAATATAATGTCATTTTGTTTCAAGGAAGTTAGAGAAAAAAACTTTTTGCGATGTACCAAAAATGCCTTGTTCCTTTCGACTAATTTTATTCTTTAATATGTTTTTGTAAAGAAATTAGAGAGATTTTGCACATATTATTATCATCCTTTTTCATTGAACAAAGGAGATTAATGCGATTTTAGCAACTTGGAAAAGGTCATGCGACTGCGGGGCGTATAAGTTATGCGAACAGCAAAGACCTTCTTACACCATTCCCGAACTTTGGACGCGCAAATTATTTACAAATACCAAGATGCAAACAAAATGTATGGTGATTAAAAGCTGGCAAACAAAAACGATGGCTCCGGTATCTTTTGATCGTTTGACTTGAGTCACGAAAGATAGCCATGTTCATGGAAGTTTCATTCTCTTTTCCTTC